ATCATGTCCCCTCTCGGTCTTCTCTTTTCCAAACTAAACAAGCCCAGTTCTTCCACTCATCCCTCATAGGTCTGCTCTGGATCCTCTTGGGTGCTCTCTCAAATGAGGGAACATCAGATTCTCTTGCTGACCCTGCTGTACCACGCTGGGTGGTCGTTTGCTTTCATCCTTTCACCAAGCATCCGGTGGAAAGGGCCAGATCGGGGGCAAGCCAGCCCGAAAAAGTCCATTTGTCCACAGAACACATGCAGCAAGAGCAATGGCAGCATAAGCCTCCCTCACTGCTCAGCCAAAGGGGCTCAGCCACAGTTCTGGGGGCGGCGTGTCCCTCCACTAGCTGCCCCCGGTACATCACCAGAAGCTTTGCCAGCTATGATGGTGGTTTTACGATCTCTCCATAGGTTGCCAGGTGCAGAGCCCCCACATGGGGGGAGGGGAACCTTTTTTGGGTTTGGGGCCGCTGATCCACAGAAAAATCAGTCGGGGGCCACACGCAAGTGAGAAGCAAGAAAAAACACAACCTCACCCTCACTGAGGTGGCCCCCAACTGAGGAGAAAGACTCTCCCCCATTCCCCTCACACACCAGGCCCTAGGGGGGCCTGGGTAGTTGAGTTTGCTTGCTCCCGCCTTGCAGGAGGATGGCAGGGGGCTGTAGTGCCAGCGCGGGCTCCCCAATGCTGAGGAGGAGCCCTGAGCCTCAAGGGCCGGATCCAGGCAAGTCGGGGACTGCATCCGGCCCCCAGGCCTTAGGTTCCCCACCCCTGCTCTACTGGGACCCGGAGGTTCTGGGGCCCGGCCCATGATACGAACTGAGGCATGTGTGTGAGAAGTGGCCGGATTACAAGCTTGTACAAGGCCTGAAAAAAATGATGCCTGGGCCCTGGCCAGGTGACTGGTTTTCAGCCAGAATGCCTGGCTGGAAAGGGACCCTAGCGGGCCTGGTCGGCACCGCTGACTGGGCCATTAAAAGTCTGGCTGGTGGGGCAGTGAGGGCCCAGGGCTAAGGCTGGCTCCTTCCCTGGCCTGGCTCCATGCAGCTCCTCGAAGCACCTGCCAGGTCCCTGCAGCTCCTGGGCTCGGGGAAGCGCTGTGCGCTGCCTTCTCCCTGAGTACCAGCCGCACAGCTCCACTGGCCTGGAACCATGAGCAAGAGGAGCTGTGGGGGCAGCTCCTGCAGGACACGTGAAGCACACGGAGCCTCCCTGCACCAAGGGGCCACAGGGACCTGGCGGCTGCTTTCTGGGAGAGATAGCAAGTGCTGCCCGGACCTTGCAGCTCAACCCCTGCCCCAGCCTGGAGTCACCTTGCACACACGAACTCCTTCCCAGAGCCAGCACACCGACCGCCTGCTCCAGCTCTGAGCCCCCTTCTGCACCCCAAGCCCCTCATACCTGGCTCCACCCCAGAGCCCACACCCCCAGCCAAAGCCCTCCCTCACACCCCCCCCTCCGGCGCCCCCCCCCCCCCCCTCGCCCCCCGTTCTACCCCAGAACCCGCACCCCCAACCAAAGTCCTCCCTCACACCCAATTCCCCATCCCAGCCCGGAGCCCTGCTGACAATCCAAACCGCTTATCTCTGGTTCCACCCCGCAGCCAGAAACCTTACCCCCCTCTCCCCCCGCTCCGGCCTAGCTTGGTGAAAATGAGTGAGGAGGAGAGAGAGCAAGCCAGGAGGGGAGGGCAGATGGAGGGAGGGAAGTTCTGTGTGATGAGGAAGTTTGCAGCCCTGTCTCTACACCCACCCAGTAAGAAGTGCACTGCTTCCTGCAGGTCCAGTGTAGACAGGCCACGGAACAGCAGCAGCTGGATGGTGACAGCTTGGGGTGCATGTGATCTAGTGAGCGCTCACCTGCACCAGCCAGCCTTCCAGTCTAATTCCACCCAAGTGGCCACCTTGTCTTTGCCACGGTGAATTTGACCAGTGGCTCTCCCTGAGCATCCCTTGTTATTTGTGCGTTCCAGTCATGGCCAGGCTCTGCCTCTGCTCTGGGACACGCAGCAGGGCCCTGTATACTTGGCTGTACTTTGGGCTCCCTTCACTGATTAGAGTATCATCCATCTTCCTGCATTGGGAGCTGTCTCCTTGCATTTGCCTGTAGGCTCCAAGGTTTCCTCCTGTCCTGGATCCTTTGCTTCTGGCTGGTGGTCTGTCTGAGCTGCTAGATCTGATTTGGATACCATGTCTCACTTCATCGCAGACTGTTCAGCCTTATACTGTATTCGATAGGAACAATGAATAGTGAATTCACGAGAACCTGTTATACCTTGTGTGTAATAAGTGGGGGGCGGCAAAGGCACCTCTCCCCAAGAAAGGATTCCATATGTGGGGTGAATGGCTGTTGCTCTTTGCAGTCATTACAGGGTATGAATAGTGATAGCAGATCACCAGTGTGGTGATCGGTTACAACAGATACTCTCTTAACTGGAAAACCGTGGTGGCCAATCAGTGCTTCATTTCTCCAAGCCATTTAAAAACAGAGGGACCTGATTGCTACGTTACTCAGTGGCCTTGCAGGAACTGTAGTAGCTCCTCTCCCTCCCACCTGTGAGTCACAGTGAGAGAAGCTGAACCTTCTGAACTACATTTCCCATAATGCACTAATCTCCTGGTCTGAACCCATCCTGGGATTAAGGAGGCTACAGGGAGTGATTAATTTAAATCCAGATTAGATTTAGCTGAATGCGGCATGAAGGAGACAGTGACCAGAAGCCGGGCAGCAGAGGCTAACTGGTGAGAGAGCGGCTTGTCTCCTGGCAGGAATTCCAAGGGATTCTCAGCTCAGGAACATTTTGTGGGTTCCCAGGTACTGCTGGGAGGGGTGTTTTTTCTCGTCAGACCAGGAGTTTGTAGTCATTCTGTGGGCATTGAAAGAAAGTTCAGGGAAAGATGGTGGCATTTGGCTGCAGGGGTTTAGCTATGGCACAGAGGTGGAAGCCAGGGCTGGTTCTGCTGTATAAGAACAGGTGGTTGTCCAGGGCTACCACGTGTTTGAGTAGAAGTGTTGAGACTGAGGGGTTGCTGGGGAATGATTATACCTGACAGGCCTCAAAAATCCCTCGAGCCACTGCTCAAGGGAAAAGAAAAAAGGGGGCAGCTATTTCTCTGCCACAAAACAAGGTGCCCTTGTCTTTCTCTGCATCCCCACTGGGACCCAAGACCAGATTTCAATGTCCCTACACCGCTGTCCATGAACAGACTCATTGATCTGAGTGTGTCCACGGGTGTCAGAATCGGGTGCTTGAGGCTTCTCCCTGGCTTGCCTCGGAGAACTCCGTTGGCTGGTGATGGGAGTTAGTCTGTCAAAGCGAGTGAGCAGGATCGATGGCTTTGCTTCAGGTGTGCTGTGTGCAGTGAGCAACTGGCCATCTCCAGCGAGGGAAGTGTGATCAGCTGCTGTTCATTAGGAAAGAAAAATAATGACAGGTAAACTGCAGGGGAGTTGTTGTCACTATTGTAGCAGCAACATTTCATGTATTAGAAATTATAGTGACTAAGAAATGTCTGTGTTTGTGTGGTGATATCACTTGGCAACCATAGTCACTGGGCAGGAACACATGGTGCTAGGCACTATACAAACAGTGCTGCAGCTAGTTTTGTTTATTGGGTTATTCTGCGCTCATGGGGCCTTTTATTTGAAATTTTGCAATGAAACAGGAATTTAATTTTGATTTTCTTAGATGTTTCCTTTCCCTTTTGCCCTGTCCCCAGACCTTCCTGCTCCACCCAGCATAGGAGCAGGTCAAGCCATCAACGGGTGCAAATCAGTGATTGACTCCCGTGGAGTTACGCTGATTAAGATCAGCTGAGAACCTGCCCCTATGCTTAGAGAGGTGGTGGTCATGTGAGACAAGGTGGAGAGGTGGTGGTCAGGTGAGATGAGGCAAATGGGCAAGAGGAGCAGGTAGCAGTGTCTGAGGAAAAACCCAGTGACAGATTTTCACTAACTGAAGAGCTGGCTTGTGATATTTACTAACCTGTCTTCTCAGGTGGACACTCAGGCTGTGTCTACACTGGCGGGTTCTTGTGCAAGAACCTGCAGAGCGTGCACACTGCTCGCCTGCTCTTGTGCAAGAAGATTTACAGTACAGCGTGGTAAGAGAGGCCTTTTTGCACAAGAGCTATGCTCTTTTTTTACAAGGGTAAGCCCTCTTGCACAACAGCTCTTGCGCAAGAGGGCAGTGTGGACGCGCGGCAGGTGTTTCTTGCACAAGAAAGCCCTCTGGCTAAAATGGCCATCAGAGCTTTCTTGCGCAAGAGCATCCGCACTGCCATGGATGCTCTTGCGCCAAAGCACATCTCGCACATGGCAGTGTGGATGTGTTCTTGCGCAAGACTTCTTGCACAAGAACCCTTGCACAAGATGTTCTTGCGCAAGAACATGCCAGTGTAGACATAGCCTCAGTGTGTAGCAGCCAGCCATAGACAAACTGCTGATGGTTCAGTTCAGAGAAACATCTCGGAGTTTGGAGGCTGCTCTGAATTACTTGGGCCTGTAAAACTGGGCCACTTGTGTTTATTCCTTGTACGACAGTGTAGCACCCGGGGGGCCAATAGGAACAAGATGTGTACAAACATCCAAGACAAAGGTGGTTTCTGCCTGAAAGAGCTTACAGTCTATTTCTTGTGGCTTCATGACCATTCTACACACAGCTGGAGCCAAGAGACTTTAGGAAGAATGAGCCTAATACGGCTCCCCTGCCCCACAACTGGGAAGGGCCGCACTGGCCCGAAATTCCCCTTTTCAGAAGAGATGACGGAGCCCAGCCTTGTTTGTGTGCGGAAGAGAGAGAGTCCTAGGGATCCTGAGAAACCCCAATAAAGCAATATCTGCAGCCCAGTGGGTGGCTGTTCGGGACAGATGAGCAGTGTTATAGCTGGGGTAAGGCTGGAGTCTCTGGTGGCTCTGTTCTTGTTTCAGTGACGGACTCTTCCGTTGGTGACTGTGCTGGCTGGCACAGCAGTAAGGGAGGTTGCTATTCACTTCTCTGGTGTTCCTAGGCCCAGAGGGGAGAGGCTCTTCCCTCTCTGCAGAGAGTATGTTCCAGCTCCTCTCCCATTGCTGGTCGCGGCTGCAGGCACGACAGGAACCAATCAGGTAAGCCCCTGCCGCCCCAGTGCGTCATGACATGTTGCCTGTTAACAACCCACAGCTTTACATTAGAAATGCATCAGTGGTTTGACTGGAAGGGGCTGGGGTCACTGATGGGATGTCTGTCCCTTGCTTTGTCTGGGACAGGGATCGGTCCAGTGTCCGGCACCCTGAGGAAATCTGCCTTGATGCTGGCCATGTGTGTGATTGTTTCAATAATAAAACCTTTCAGTGCCTGGGAGAAAGCACCATTCCTCCAACCCTCCAGACTGTCTGTGCAGCCAAAGAGGAAGCAGGCTGATTGTGATGTCTCCAAGCTAGGCTTGCCAGATGTTTTCAACAAAAATCCTGAACATGGCAAACTTGGTTGAGCCAAAAAAAAAAAAGTCGCTGCACCTTTAAATGGCTCCGCACTCCTTGACCCCTGAGATGCAGCAGGGAAGAACTGTCCCTGCCAGGCTTCTGTCCGAGGGAGACAGGAAATACCAGACATTTCACATGTCCGGTATTTTCTGGTTTTTTTTACTGGATGAGGGACCTGAATACCAAATGTCCAGGCAAAAACCGGACACCTGTCAACTCTACTCCAAGCTCTTGGCTTTACCCATCAAAACTGTGTTATTGTTACAATTTTCTATATTAATTGTAGAATATTTTATTAAATTGAAAACTATATGGGAAAGATTTCAAGACCCTATCTCACTCCCGCCCTGGGCAGGCCTGTTCCTGATGTTATGCATGCAGGGGGCAGAGATTCCATTTCACAAAAGATTTCAAAATCCTGCTTCATTTCAAACGGAAACAAACCTGAAAATTTCAAAATTCTCCATAGAGGAAAACCCTGAAGAATTTTCATTCTGGATTGATTGAAATGTTTCATTTCAACCAAATCTCAAATGTTTCAATGTTGACTTTGTTTTACAATACAGAATAATACATTTTCGAAACCAAGTTATTAAAAAAAGTAAAATCAAAACGTTTAGTTGGGAAGATGAGGGAAAGGGATGTTTTGTCTTTGCTGGAATCTGCAAATGAAATTTAATGTGGATAAGTGTAAAGTAATGCACATCGGAAAAAATAACCCCAACTATACGTACAGTATGATGGGGGCTAATTTGGCTCCGACAAATCAGGAAAGAGATCTTGGAGTTATCGTGGACAGTTCTCTGAAAACTTCCACACAGTGTGCAACGGCGGTCAAAAAGGCAAATAGGATGCTAGGAATTATTAGGAAAGGGATAGAAAATAAGACCCAGAACATCTTACTGCCCCTGTATAAAACTATGGTACACCCACATCTTGAATACTGTGTACAGATGTGGTCTCCTCACCTCAAAAAAGATATTTTGGCCTTGGAAGGGGTTCAGAAAAGGGCAACTAAAATGATTAGGGGTTTGGAACGGGTCCCATATGAGGAGAGGTTAAAGCGACTGGGACTTTTCAGTTTAGAAAAGAGGAGACTGAGGGGGGATATGATAGAGGTCTATAAAATCATGAGTGGTGTGGAGAGGGCTGATAAAGAAAAGTTATTTATTAGTTCCCATAATAGAAGAACTAGAGGACACCAAATGAAATTAATGGGGAGCAGGTTTAAAACTAATAAAAGAAAGTTCTTCTTCACACAGCGTGTTGTCAACCTGTGGAACTCCTTGCCAGAGGAGGCGGTGAAGGCTAGGACTATAACAGAGTTTAAAGAGAAGCTAGATAATTTCATGGAGGTTAGGTCCATAAAAGGCTATTAGCCAGGGGATAAAATGGTGTCCTTGGCCTCTGTTTGTCAGAGGCTGGAGAGGGATGGCAGGAGACAAATCGCTTGATCATTGGCTTCGGTCCACCCTCTCTGGGGCACCTGGTGCTGGCCACTGTCGGTAGACAGGATACTGGGCTAGATGGACCTTTGGTCTGACCCAGTACGGCCGTTCTTATGTTCTTATGGAATCGTTTTTGCTTTTTCTTTGGAAGAAACTTTCAGTGAACAGGACATGCTTTTGCAAAGAGTTTTGATTTAGATGGAGTTGAATCTTCTGATGGAAAAGGTTCTGTGGCAGTTTTTCTGACTAGTTCTGTTGTCCAGTGTCTTGTCCACTGTGACCTAAAATGACCAAGCAATACAGTTTTCTCCACTTACACTGGAATAGCTCCCCTCAAAAAACAGACCTCAGTGCTAGCAAATAGCAGAGAACGTTCCGTCTTTGCTGAGTTTCATGCTGTTACTTTCAATGACAGCTGAATTCTGCATTTTGTAATATATATTAGGAATTCTGGGATTCTTGCTTTAAAAACTATTCATGCAGTGATGCATGCATATATACCAGTACTGCACTGCAGAGGTCCCCCAAAAGTGTTCCCTTAGCCTGCGATGAGCCATGTATTACTGGAGTGGGGTGTATGTGTGTGCTGGGGATACAATTCAGTTGTTTTCCCCTGTAAACAAAATCAGGGTCAGAT